CCCTCTCTCCCTCTCTCCCTCTCTCCCTCTCTCCCTCCCTCCCTCCCATGCGGATTTTCCTGGTTATATTCCTTTAGAGAACCTGACTAAAGCAGTGCCGATGGTTGCTGTGAGTTCTTGGCTTGCTGCAGATGTTTGCGACCAGAGGATTCTGTCTCACAACAGTCTTCCCCATCTTGATTTTACCCTCTTACTGCCCCCTCTTCTGTCATGTGTCTTGACCCTTATAAGGGGCAGGGTGTGACACAGCCCCCTGTGAGGGATGAACTTGCAGTAGTCCTTATTCCCAGCACCTCACCGTGTATGAGTCACTCCATACACTGTTAATTGAAGAGAAGCTTCTCCAATCCTGTGCAGCACTGATCTATGCTATGAGAGCAAATCTGTAGAGCACAGTTGCACAGCATGTTCATGAAACAAAACAGTAGTGCTAGGGTCCTTCCTAAAACCTCATATTGACATGGTTTTCCCATGGGGTTTTGTGATCATTGAACTGATTTTCATGGTACCTTGGGTTGTTTAGGAATGCTACCATTCATGAATGAAAAAAAGCACTTTTCAGAAATGAATGCCACAGAGTGCAGTGGACTTCCAGTTTCCTGGCTTCACCTTACATATATTAATTTTCTTTTATTAGAAGATAATTTCTCTTCAGAATCACTCAGTATCAAATGTAGTGGACAAACTGTTTCCTTTGAAATAGGTGGGAAGTTTCCATAGGTACGTAGATGGAGGTTCTCATATGTGTATTCTGGTTCTTTCTGTCTCTTTTACTGTCACTGTGGATGCGGCTTCACAGGGCTCCTCAGGCAACTGTCTTTCAGGACTTCCTCTTCCTGTCATCACTCCCTGTTCTCTCAGTTCTTGCTTTGATTTTTGTGTTTTGGCTTTTCTTACAATCAGTTTTTTTTTTAAGAACAAAATAAAAAAAGAGTGTTCCCCCCCCAAAAAAAAACCCCAAAAAACAAAAAACTACTCACACAAGTTAATTTAGGAAAAAGAAAATACTAATGGACTAATGTCAGCATTGAAACTATTTACAGAAAACTTGCCTCTATTGTGGCTAAGTGGAGGTGGAGTTGACTCCTCTTCAGTCTTGCTTGCTCTAGCAAGTCAGCAAGCTAACTCACGGGTGTCCAGGTTCCCTGTCCTCCCTCCTTTTTATACTCTCATCAGTGGGCAGTCAGATCCAAATGACAGTTGGTGCTGGTGTGACTACTTCTGTGAAAAAGGAGATTTTAATTCAAAGGAAGGCTAGTGAATCATTTCTCAGAATGATAAAAGCCACATCATTCATCCAAAGAAAATGTTATTTATGATATTATTTATGGAAGATTGCATTCTGCTTTTTAATTGAGTTAGTCAGTCGTTTCTTTGGGTGCATATGGATAGAGACACACAGTTCACACTGAAGTCACCCTACCGAAGTTCGGGGCTTAGCTCTACACTGTCCTGGTCACTTGGACACT